CTCTGCCGAAATTGGGCAGGCGTCTCAAGCTTCCAGTAGTTAAGGCAGAGCAGGAACATCTTTGAGAGCTCAAACATCGTCTGCCGCTCTCGGGGAGCCAAGTGACTAAACTTGTACTGCACGAAGTTCAGCACACCCTGAGAAGGGATGGGCGGGGAACAAAACCAGGAACAAGGTGTGAGCAACCAAGAGGGGCTTCTTATCCAAAGGATGATGCTCCCTAAGGGCAGTGACAAGGCTCTCCTCTCACTCTGGGGCTCTGAGAAGAGAAACTGTGCCTTCCCTTCTCTGAACCTCTTCCCTGTTCTCAGCTTGGGGGGATGGTGAATACAGGCTCCTGACTCCTCCAAACTCCCCCCAGTTCCCTTCTGACCACCTGTCCATCCCACCTGCTCAATATTTGGCTTCTCAAATGGGGGGCTGCCCAGGGACCCCTCCACCAGCACATGTCCATCCCACCTGCTCAATATTTGGCTTCTCAAATGGGGGGCTGCCCAGGGACCCCTCCACCACAGGCCGGGTCATCTGCAGGATGCATTTCCGCAGGAGCTGGAGAGAACAGGGCGGGCAGGAGTAGCAGGCAGAATCCAGTGGGAGCCCCCCCCCCCACTATCTCACCTCCACTCCCACACTCATCAAGTACCCACCTGGCATGGGCTCAGCTCCTGTAGAATCTAGACTCAGGGAGCTGTTGCTGCTCCCACCCATGGTGGGGCTGAAGATGGGGGTGCTGGGAACAACTGCTGCACTAACTGTAGCTGAGAGAGTGAGCAAGAAATCAGGGAGAGGCGGTCAAAGCCCTCGAAGGGGTACGGGTCCTCCATTTGCCAATGCAGCCAGGAAGGCCAAGCGGAGACTGTGCAGGGCCAGTTGTGGCATATACCTGGCCGGGGCACCAGCTGTGTCCCCTCTGAGGGTGGCATGGTGAAGCCTGACTCCCAGATGGGAGAGTTTGCCCCGTAGATCTCCTCCTCCAGCATGGACAGGAACCTGTGGGGAGGGTACAGCCTGTCTCCCCACTCTGTCCTCCGAATGAGGTGCAGCCTGGGCCAGGCACCAGCGGGAGTGGAGACCGGGCAGAGAGACAGACTCTACTTTTGGGGAACCGGGAGCGTGATATGGGAGACAGCCTTTGCCCACTGGGAAGCTCTTGCCTAAAGGGGAAGGCAGAGTCCTCTGCCTTGTGGGAGCCCCCGACTGAAGGGAAGAGGATTGGGCACACATCCAGGACAGACAGCAAGAGGCCCAACTTTTCCATGATGTGCGGCACAGGGAGAGGGTCTAAGCTGATATCCTGTGCTAGGTGGTCAGCCAGGGTGGCAAGTCCCCCCGAGTCCCCTCTGCCAGTATCAAAATGGGCCCAGAATCCCACCCAACTTGCCAACTCTTGCTCCCGCCTGGTGGCAGGAGGGGCACTAGACGGCCTGGATTGGTCAGTGAAGGCTTTCTGAACAGGAAAGTTAGGTGCCAGGTTTAAAATGGGAGGAAAATGCAGAACAGAGAAAAATGGTACAGAATCAACTAGAACAGGGGTGGGAGTTGGTTTCACCTCAAGCGTAAGCTCTGGTTTCTTGGAGTGCTGTGGTAGGAAGGATTCTGAGGCTGTGTCCAGGCCCCGTGGGAAACAATTAGTAACGTCTAACGTCAGGGGTGTGGGGGGGTAGCGTTAGCTCGGGCCATGTACCTGCCATCCCCAGACTAGTACGTGCAAAGGCAAATACTAGCAAGTTGCTTCTGGGCCATGGGCAAGTCTGCCAGGTAGATGCCCAGATCCCAGAAGGCCCATGGAGGGAGAGGAGGGACCAATCCAGGAAGTCTTCCTGGAAAAAAGGGGACAACAGCAAGGATGTGAACTTGGGGCAAAATCCCAAGAGGCCAGAATGAGCCTTACTTGGGGAAGTGGGTGAGAATGAGAGTCCTCTTCTCGGGCACCAGCTTGTCCTTCTCCACTCGGAACTTCTCCAGCAGCTGCCGGCGGGTAACAGTGAAGATGGACCGGAGGAGGCTTCGCCCAAAGACGTGAGTGGTCTCGTAGCGGGGGAGGCTGTCGCAGCTCTGGGGCACGTGGCAGTAACAGAGCCACCTGGGGTGGAAGGTAGGCATGGTGACAGCTGAGGATAGAACCCCCTGAAGCTAGGCTGGACCCCCAAGCCTTCCCCATACTGCTCCCGGCTGGGCCTACCTGGTGTAATTGACCTTATAGGTGGCCACGTCCTCGGCCTGGGATCTCTGCCGAAATTGGGCAGGCGTCTCAAGCTTCCAGTAGTTAAGGCAGAGCAGGAACATCTTTGAGAGCTCAAACATCGTCTGCCGCTCTCGGGGAGCCAAGTGACTAAACTTGTACTGCACGAAGTTCAGCACACCCTGAGAAGGGATGGGCGGGGAACAAAACCAGGAACAAGGTGTGAGCAACCAAGAGGGGCTTCTTATCCAAAGGATGATGCTCCCTAAGGGCAGTGACAAGGCTCTCCTCTCACTCTGGGGCTCTGAGAAGAGAAACTGTGCCTTCCCTTCTCTGAACCTCTTCCCTGTTCTCAGCTTGGGGGGATGGTGAATACAGGCTCCTGACTCCTCCAAACTCCCCCCAGTTCCCTTCTGACCACCTGTCCATCCCACCTGCTCAATATTTGGCTTCTCAAATGGGGGGCTGCCCAGGGACCCCTCCACCACAGGCCGGGTCATCTGCAGGATGCATTTCCGCAGGAGCTGGAGAGAACAGGGCGGGCAGGAGTAGCAGGCAGAATCCAGTGGGAGCCCCCACCCCCACTATCTCACCTCCACTCCCACACTCACTGGGTGGTAGCTCACCTTGAAGAGGTAGAAATAGACCTGCTTGGTGTCCGTGTCTTCCTCCTTGTGAACAGACATGAACAGATTCTCCACGTCCACCACCATCCCCAGCAGCCGGTTAATCTCATCCTCTGATACGTTTTCCAGGTGGGACACATGGTCAGCTGGGAGACAGGCAGGTGGTAGAGTTGGGGAGAACGAATAGCCAAGATCAACAAGGCTTCCTGCTTCTCTTCACAGCCGATCAAGATACACCCTCTGACCAGCGTGACAGCACTGAGACTGCTCAGACATCAGCCCCTGGGTGGCTCTGCCTCTGCTAGGCCGGCAGATTTCCTTTCTCTTCCTTGGGGCATACACATCTCCAACCCAACCCTTCCTTAGGAGGGATCTTTGATTTCTCAGAGAATTTAAGTCTCCCTGTCCAAGCAGGACCCAGCACCTGCCGCCCCTGCCCCGCCCCGCCCCATGGGCGAGGCCTGCCTTACCCAAGGGGTGCTCACAGCTACGGCACAGCTCGCTCAGGTTGGCAGCTGGCTGCTGCAGGTCCATGCGGGGTGCAGTGGGGGGCTTGGGGTTTTTCCAGCCATTACATTTGCAGGTTTCATTGGCCTGGAGGCAGAAGGTTCAGTGACCTGTACCCCTGTAGCAGGAGTCACTCCGCAGCTAGAGCTTTACCCCTACCCCCATTCCCACCCGAGCCCAGGGATGCCCAAGCCCCGCCCCTTTCACTCCAGGCCCCGCCCCCACCTTGCAAGCCGAGAAGACCCCTAGCTTCTCCAGCTTCTTGGCACGCGGCCGTCCT